ATGGGTCTTGCCTATTTAAACTCTCTGCATATGTAGTCCACCATGTCTCATGGGGACATCTTCAAGGCTACACCTATACAAAGTACCTGATGCCTTCAAGTACCCTTAGGACTAGTTTATCCTCGACAGGAAACTTACTAGAACCTTCCATGCCCCACACACAGCTGATCTAGTTTTATGCAACATGCTATAGTTACCTAACACTTGCAGTCACAGGGGTTATCTGTTTAACCACTATGTTATACTATTTCTACCCTTGTAAAGTTCACTAGAACCCCAGTACCTATTATTGCAACATCTTCTTCATCATCTCTTACTAACCACTACTTAGGACTGACAGGACTCTCCCAACTTCCAATCCAGATAGCCTGGTATAGTATACTTATGTATCCTTTTCCTCCAGCGATTCCAGTAGCCTGGTTGGTCATATGTTCCTCTACACATCTTAACATCCAGTTTATCCATCTATTTCTTTAGGGGTGTTTCATAGGCTTCCATTAGTCTGACCGTACTGTCGAAAGTTCATGCTACCTCTTTACTTGGGAATTTTTAAGTGGGCTTCTGACTCTTCAGTTCCTTAGTTTACTGCGCCCAGTGGTCTTATCATAGGTTTGCACTGAAGTCTTATATGACACCGGTTATTAACATTCCTCTATGTACATGTAATGTTATACTTGGCATAGATGCCCCAAGCTCCTATTCAAGATAGTGCAACTTAAGGTTACAAATACATAAATCCAACCGATCGTCAAGAGACAGTTTGCCGTAACACAGGTTAATTTCCAAATTTCGTCGTAGGTGGGATTTGAACCTTAGACCTGCCACTTGGAGGATGACAACCCAACCACTACATTAGGAGTCTTTTCTATTTAGTAACTGTCTTTACAATCATTTGTTAGATGTTTTTCTTTATTGTTTTGTTACTTGATAGTATATAAACTCCTATTACTACTAACTTCAATTGCTTGAAATATAGTGTAATCTTTATTATATATTTACTTATTCTCTTAACTGCACCTACATGCTTTTTCTATTGTTTTTCTATTAGAATTCCTACACCTGATCCTTTTTTCTTATCTTCTGCTATGTTTGTCCAATACCCTATATAGTTTTTGTTTAACACATGTGTTAGAAGCCTTTTTTCTCTTTTAGTAATATTTGTTTCTATAATTTTTAATATTACAATTTTCTTTTTTTCTGCTTAGCTAAGCAGATTTTCAAGCTTTCACCCTTTAGTTTTTAATCTATTAATATTATAACATGCTATTTTAATATTTTTTTTTTCTTGTTTCTATTTCTCTTTTAATTGGTTTTATTCTACTTCTATGTTTTCTGCACTTTTTTTTCTTTTTTAGTTTTCTTTTCTTTTTGGTAAAGAGTTATGCTTTTCTTAAATATTTCTCTTTCTCTTTGTAGAAATCTTCAAGCTCCTCATCTGTTTTTATTAGTTCAACTAAGGTGCCCTTAGAAGCAATCAGCTAAGCTGTCTCCTGTCTTTAGTTGCATTTTTTTTATTTATTTGTCTTGTTAAACTTCAAGTCTGTCTAATCTTTCTAAGATTTTTTGAAACAAATCTTACATTTGTAGTTTGAGATTATTTTTTTCTGTTTGTTTTATTTGACTATTACCTTTGCTTTTGTTGTTTTTCCTTTTGGTTATTTCTCTTTTATCAACCTTCTGCTCTTCTTTATTTATATTAATATATATATTTTCTGTATTTGGGTGTCTTTGATTGTTACTACCTTCTTTTTTTCTATTTCACTTTTTCTGAAAGTTTTTCTAATATAGAAGGTAGTTGTTAAATCTTATTAGTTTGGATTGTGCTGTTTTTATTTCTTCTTCTAATGCAAAAGTGACTGTTGCTGCTCTTTTTTGGTTTTTATTTCGTTAGGTGGTATATAAACTGATTTTGTCTTCTTGTTTTTTAAGCAGTATAGTAGCAATACTTTTGAAGCATTACCTGAAAGCCTTGTTAGTCTTGTTGTAAACAAGTTTTGAAGATCATGTTGAGTGTAATCTTTATTGTCTTTGGTTACTTTTGCCAACTTGTGAATACTGATTGGCAAAGTCCACAAAATGTTTTCATTAGTAAATTAATTTGTTTGAACTACTGCTAATGCCTTGTGTTTGGATTTTTTAATACATATTATTTGTATCTTCTTGAAGCTTTTACACATATGCTTGATTTTCTTTGCATTGATGTTCACAGGTAAGTTCCATATTGTAAAACAGTTATATGAATTTATTTTATTTTTTGTTGTAAACAAGTCTTATTTCTTTTTATATTTTTCTTTTCTGGATTGGTTTTTGTATCTTTCTTTTTCTTTTTTGTTGTTGTTTTTAACTTGTTGTTCAAGTTTTGATTCTTTGTTCTTCTTTTTTTCTGGGATAAGCTTGAGCCATTTACCTTTTTTTTCTTGAATTCTGTTCATCACTGCATCTCAACTATGTTCACAATCAAAGTCTACTTCTATTCAGTTGTTTTCATTCTTAAAAACTTCTTTAATTGCTTTAATATAATGGTTTTTTGCTCAAGATTCATTGCACATATTTTATTCTTTCATTATTTGTTTCTTCTAATAAGATATATGCAAGCATGTTTGCCTTGAAGAACATGTTCTTGTTATATACTGTAAAATATGGACATAGGTACCTCCTAATACTGTATATCTCTAACTAGTTTGAAAAACCAGTTTGTAACTTATACCCAAATATTAGATATATCTTCTAATAGTATATTATTGCACATTAATATAAAACCAGTTTTTAATTAAATTGCGATTAGTAATATTCATGACAAAGTAATAATTTGATTATACAAACTTGAATGTATTACAGGATTTTTTAACAACTCAATACCCAATTATTACATTACTAATACAGTATATTTTTTATATTTAACATTAGTAAATGCCATATTGCACTTAATAAAAAGTAAAATTTTATAGTAAATATAAACTTTATTAAAAGAAAAAAAATTGTAAAATTTGATTATTCTTTCCAATTATTAATATCTTCAGTTTTCTTATACCCTTCACCATCAATATCTTCAAAATTCAACTTTTTAATATTTTCTTCATTTGAATTTATTACATTCTTATCTAAAATATTATAATTAAATACTAAATTATTCTCAGATCCATCTATTTTTACTAAGATGCTACAGTATTTAAATGCTTTTCTAATAATATGAGGATCAATCTTATTTTATAATTCTTCTATCCATTGAGCTAAAGTAGAATACAACAGCTTTCAAATACTTCTAGCAGATGTAAATTGATAAGAATTGTTAATCATCTATTGGTTATAACAAAAATATACTTATTAATTAAAATTTTATTAGTATGTCTTATAATAATAAACAAATATTTTAATATACTGTATCTTTTTTTTAAAACATTTGTTTATTGCAATGTCAAATAGCTGCAATTTACTAGTTAGTTCATTTAGAATAACTGCAATATGGGATTGTTTTTCTGATATTGACATTTAACAGAATCTACAGTGTAGTCTTTAAACAAATCCAAAATAAGAAGAGATTAGGAGTTTTCTAATTCACTACACTCACTTTATATATTATTAATCTAATATTTTATCTCCTCTTTATTACACCATCCTTTTTTATTTACATGAATGATAATGCCTTCAAAAAAAACTTTACAAGAGATATTTTTTAGTTTAAAAATACACACTGATAGGAGTTTTTTTCTATTTGCAAGACATCTTAAAATTATAGTAAAAGATAACTTTTTATAACTAGTTGTCTGGATGCTTACTGTTTTGGCTCCATGTTTCTCAAGTGTTACTAAGTAGAACATATCAAATAACTAAGAGGTTTTATCTATGTTTCCAATATATTGGATATCATAGTTGTATTGGCAGCATTTGAACAAAACTAAACTCAAAAACTTACTTTGTTGCTCAATATGATCTTTAGAAAGGTGCTGCAAAACTGTTGTACATCAGTGATTTAAAAACTCATTATGATACAAGAATCTATAGAGCCAATTATCAGAAAACTTAAAATCATTAATATTAGAATATTTATCTTTTATTTCATTAGTTTTACATATCATTTTAGCTCTTCTAATAATCATGTTTCATAAAACAGCTATCTGTTTTTTATAGAAAGCTTCAATCCATTCAACCAACCTTCTTTCTAAAAGTAGATACTAGGCTGGTCTGCCACAGTTGAAAGTTAAAAGGTAAGGTGCAGTATTTAAAGATCCTGTTTTTTGCTTCACTAGTTATGCACTTGTTTAGATTCAATGTCAAATCATTTTGTAGTTGCTTTTACATTTTGAATATGTTCGAAATAATAAACTACTATAAGCTTTTCATGAACACTTCAGTTATGATAAGTCTTCTTATTAATACAGACTTTTTTTGAGATACTTCTACTTCATAGAGACATTTTTTTTTTAACATATTTAGAAAAACTCATGTTTTTAAGTTTTTATATAGAAAGAAAATAGAGAGAACATTGTACAACATGTATAGTAATATTTTAGAGAATTTTATATTTAAAAAAAAAGGTCAATCTCAAATTACTGAGCTGTTAGAATACAATCCTAAAGCTGATGTCTTGCTTAAAGTAATTGGACATGCTTTCAAACAGTTCAAATCTATGACAATAATTCAGGAAAAAAAATTTTGGTAGCAAATAAAAAAACTTTAAGAGAAAAAGTTCAGATCTAATTACTAAGCCATTAGAGTACAACTCTAGAGCTGATGTTTTTCTGCTCAATATAATTGGACATGACTTCAAACAGTTTACATTTATAACAATAAATTCAGAACAAAAAATTCTGGTAGCAAATTAAAAAACTTTGAAAGAAAAAGTTCAGACCCAATTACCAAACTGTTAGGTAAACTTAAAGCTAAGTTCTGCTCAAGGTAATTGGGTATGTTTTCAACAGTTTACATTTATTATAATAAATTCAGGAAAAAAATTCTGACAGCAAATTAAAAAACTTTGAAAAAAAAAGTTCAGACCCAATTACCAAGCTATTAGATAAACCTAAAGCTGAGTCCTGCTCAAGGTAATTGAATATGCCTTCAACAGTTTACATCTATTACAATAAATTCAGAAAAAAAATCCTAATGACAAATTTAAAAACTTGAAAAAAAAAAAAAATCCAAACCCAATTACTGAGCCATTAGGGTAAACCTAGAGCTGAGTCTTGCTTAAAGTAATTGGGCACATTCTTGAATATAAACAAATAGTTAAAAAAAATGACAGAAAGAACATTTAATATTCAATATATTTAATGCTTTTAAAAAAGATTTAATGAAACATTTTAAAAAAATTTTTTTGTAAAAGACAGGTGATCTATATATAAAAGAATTTTTATTGCTTACTAATGATAAAGCAACTTATAGTCTTAATCATATAAATGGCTTGATTATTGTTATGACATATGTTGTAACAAGCTTTATTTTTTTGACTTTTGCATGCTTTATTAAACTATTATATCTATTACATAATGATTTGTACACCTAAATAAATCTAATAAAAATTCCATATAAAGGGTTATTTAATTGCTATAAAGGTTAGCTCTCTCTTTGAAGAATTTGAGTTTTCTTTTAAATTTTTACTTGGGTTTTTTATTCTTGTACTGCATTTTGATTAACTCAATTACATAATTAATATAATAAATTGTTCTCTATTGTAAAATTTGTATCCTTTTTGCTATTAATAATTACTTTAATGCTTACAGCCCAATAGCTAAATTGGCAATGAAAGTATAAAGTCTCTTTCTTGGTCATAACATTATGCAACTTATAACCCCAAACATGTGAATGTCATTACAGAAACTTGATTCTAATTTTTTCTTAATAGTATTCATATTGAAATAGAAGTTTATTTAACTATCTGTCTTGATTTACATACCTTTATTAATACAGTATACCTTTTCTAATAAGGTACTCTGAGTACAAAATTGAGTAATAAAAATACTTAGGGTACCTATATCCATATTTTATGGTACTCTATTTTCTGGTGACTGTTGGCTGTGCTCAATTGTGTCAACAAAAATTGGATCTTTATAGATTATGTTTTCTTTTTTTAATTTTATTATTTTCTTGTCAATATTTTTTATATTTCTTTTAACTTCTTGAATTATATTATCTCTTAGAGCTTCTGTGTCCTTTTTTATCTTTTTTTCACTTGCTTCTTCTGCTTTATTTAATTTGTTTATAAGAGTTTAGTTTGTGCTTGATGAAAAACTTTTTTGTTGTATATCTTGTAGTATATTAATGTTAAGTTCTTCTATTTGGCCAACAATTTTATTTATCATTTGAGTTGGTTTTCCTAAAGTGTTTCTTCTTTTGCTACATCTTGATAACTTTTTTTTGTTATTAATGTTTGCATTTTTTTTATGCTGTTCAGTTTTTCTATTTCTTTTATTTTTTTTTCTTCTTTAAGTATTTCTTCTTTACTCATATGTATAATATATTTAGCTGACTTTGGGTTTTAATTTATCAGTCTAAGTCTTTGTGCCTATTTATCTATTATATCTTCTTCAAGTCAACTTAATTCTGCTAAACTCAAGGCTTTAAAAATTTGTTTATAGAGTAGTATATTATTTAGTATAATATAGTTTAAGTTATTTATTGCTAGGTTCTTTGCTATATGCTTTACATTGCTTGGTTCTTTTGCAAGCATTATTAAAATTTGATCCAACTATTCAGAATTTAAATATCTTCAATTTTTATCATCTGCTTCCTTAATATAGTACATAATGTCTGTATTATTAGCCTAATCTATTTGATCTATTTGTTGGGTTTCTATCTTGTATAATTTTCTTTTTAAGTTGTTCACATGCATCTTGTGTTATGCTACTATTTACTACTAGCTTATTTATCTATTTTCTAATTAGGAATATGCCTTTGTTGTTTGTTGTTGTTGTTTAGTCAGTTACATGTTTCTTTTCTGTTTTTTAGGATTAATTATGATTTTCCAAACTTCAAGTTTTATACTAAAAAAAAGAAAAATTTTCTAAAAGCAAGTTTAGTTTGTTGGAAATATATTTTCTAGTATTATACTTCTATTGTTGTTTATGTATTTTCAAATATAAACTTTTTTTTCTTAAAGGCCCAAGGACTGTTTGCTATTCTGTTTTGGTTATATTTTATATTTTGTTTCTGCTCTGCTTTGAGACTAAAGATTAGCAGAAAGAGCTAAGATATTATATAATAATATTGATAAGCTAATAAAAGCCTAATATATACTGAGAAGGCATTTGTTAAAACAAAAAATTCATATATAAGCAAAAAGAGCAACAATAAATAAAATAAAAAAACAATAAATAATAAAATATTTACTTTTGAACTACTAGTAGAATGACTCTAATAGTTAATAAAAATGTAATATTGTTAGTTAAAAATAAATAAATAACAAATTAAATAAAATAAAGATTTAATGAATCACAATAAAAAATAAAAATAAAAAAAAATAAAAAAATTAAATTTTAAAAAAATTAAAATTTAAAAAAAACAATTATATTTATTTAAATCTTTATTAATATCAAATATCATATTATTACAATTTTTATATTTAATTAATTAAATTATAAAATAATTGAATTTAAAAAAACTTCTAATATAGAAATATAAAATTTTATTTTTTTAATATTATCTGTCTTTTTGACTCTTTAGTACCTATTACATACTTTTTTAGCTAATTTAACTACTGCTATTTTTTAATTTTTGTTACTTCTTTATTATTTACTCTGCATATATTCTATAAATAACCTCTAACCTACATATATATAAAATATTATTTTTTTTTAAGTTAAAGTTCTTGCCTTTGGAGATTAATGTTTTTATTTATATATTTGGATATAGGTGCCTTTAGAGTCTTTCTTATATTAGAGGTTACAACTAGTCATATATGCATTTTTGATGTCTAATTTAAGTAGTCTACCTATATATTACTATACAAGTTCTACACTAAATGCCATATCTGCAAGCCAGCTACAGGTCTTGTTTATTTAAACCTTCTGCATATATAGTCTATTATGTTTTACAATAACATCTTTAAGCCTATATCTATTTAAAGTATTTAATGCCTTTGAGACTTTTAAGACTAGTTTATCCTTAACAGAAAACTTACTAAAACCTTTTGTATTCTATATATAGCTAACCTAGTTTTATATAACTTACTACAATTGTCTAATATTTGCAGTCATAAAGGTTGTCTATTTAATCACTATTTCTATTCTTATAAAGTTTACTAAACTTCAGGACCTATCACCATGATGTTTTTTTTATCATCTCCTACTAACTGCTACCCAGAACCAACAAAACTCTTTCAACTTTCAATTTAGATAGCCTGGTATGATATATATATATATCTTTTTTTTTTAGTAATTTTGGCAATCTGATTGGTTATATGCTTTTTTATATATTTTGTTATCTGATTTATCTACCTATCTTTTTAAAGGTGTTTTATAGGCTTTTATTAGTCTGACTATACTGTTGAAAGTTCATGCTATCTCTTTATTTAGAAATTTCTAAGTAAGTTTTTAACTTTTTAGTTTCTTAGTTTACTATACCTAGTAGTTTTATTGTAGGTTTGCACTGAAGCTTTATGTAATATTAGTTATATATTTCTTTATATATATGTAACATTACACTTTGCATAGATGCTTTGAACTTTCATTTGAGATAATGCAACTTAAGGTTACAGATACATCAATCCAACTGATCATTAAAAGACAGTTTGACATAATACAGATATAATTTTTTTTAAATTTTATTATAGGTAGAATTTGAACACTAACTTGTTACTTGAAAGATGACAACCCAACCATTACATTATAATTGCTATCTTCTTAAACCCACTTTCTTTAAACATTTCTTGAAACTTTTTTTATAGATTGGCAGTTAATAAGTTATTATTATATATATGTTTATAAAAAATATATTTACAGAACAGCAAATATCAATTGTAAAACAAGCATTAACAATTAAAAGAGGCCAAACCTGAACATCTTTCTTTTTTTCAAATCTATCTATTATAGCACAGACTTTTTTATAAGCAGATGTTAGAATGAAAAAAGAAACTTGTAGATTTTTTTAAGAATGTTGTCTTTAACACTATAAGCAATGCTTTTTTAATATAAAAGTTAAAGGCAGTACTTTCAGATTTAAACTTTTTTTATAATTAATATTAATAATGCTATATATAGTACTTTAAACAAAAAATAAATAAAAGATATATTAAAAAAAGACAATAATAATAAAAAATAAGTGCAGCAATAATGATTTTTCTGCAAAAACTTAACAAAAAAAAAAAAAATTCAAATAAATAAATAAATAAATAAAAAATCATTTGCAATATATTCTTTTTTTTTTGTAAAAAAAAAACTCTACTCACCCACTCAGATCATTATTAAAAAAATTTTCAATCACATTCTTAGTTTTTTTTAATAAAAAACTTTTTACTATTTTTTTAAAAAAATTTTTTTATTAAAAATTATTTGCTTTTTATAAAAAAAAAAATTTATTAAATTTTAAGATTTTTGCTATATTAAATATAATGCAAAAAATTATTATCTCTAAATAGTATAAACATAAAATAGTTTATCAATTAAACTATAAGATAGTGAAGTTATTCTATTCAATTTATTATGAAAAGATTTTAATAGGTTATTTACATAATCTGTAAAAGCAGAAGAGGGTGCTAATGGGCCTATATGCCCTATTGATATATATTTTTTATATAGTTTCTTCTAATATAGTTTTGTAAAATAAAAATTAAACAATTAATAACATTCTAAACAAGGCTTTTATAGCTAATTTTTGTTTTTTTATGCATTACTGTGATTATAATATCTTGAGTTTTTTTTTTATAAATTTTTTGCATCTATGTTCTCATAATGTAAACAATACAAATAATTATTTAACATTTTTGCTTACTAGCTATTACATCAAAAAAAGCTTATATAATACTTTTGGTCTTAATGCTACTTTGGTCTGAAAGTATATAACAAGAGAATCAGCAACAACACTTATTACAAATAATTTTTAATGTCTTTGCAACTGTGTCAATATTCTTACTGCTTATAAAAAAATAGGCATTCATGTTTTAATATTCAAAAGTATTACAAATGTAAAGAGTAAACAAACACTAATTATACTAGTTAGTTTTGTGAATTGAATTAATCAGTATTAACTATTTATAATGTTTAAGTTTTTTAAGTTGCTTCAGATGCATAAACACAATATTTTAGTAAAATAGTAGGATATATGCTAATTTTTAACAAAATATTCCTGAGTTTTTAAATAAGATATTGTTTCTAAAATATCTAATTTTAGATTCAAATTTCCAATAAAATAGGCTTTTATAGATCTGCAAACCTTATATTTAATGTTGTTACTTCTTTATAATTTAGATCATGTATACTTGCAATGAGACCTAACTTGGTTGCTAAATATTTTTTAACAATAGTTGTGATTGCTGAAGGTGTATAATTTTTTATTGCTATATTTTTAACTAGAATTTTAATAGTTTTTAACTGTTTTATCCTATTATTGTTTTCTAAAATATATATGTAATCTGGAAAATTCTTATATTGTTTTACTTGAATTACTTTTGAAGCAATTAACCAAAAAACTTTTATCTTTGCTTAACACAGACTAGAGGATCTTTTTTTTGATATTCAACATTTTTTATTTGAAATATTTTTCTGTTGCCAGATATTTGAATCTTAGTATTTTATAAAATAGCATGCAAAAACCTTTTAAATATTACTATTTATGTGCTTGTATAAATTCTATTTTGTCCAAATATTTGAAACTAATAGCTATCAATTATTTTTAAATTTATTTATTAGAATTTTTTAATAAATGTTTAATATTATAGAAAAGAATTTACTTTTTATTTGGCAAAAGATTTAAAGTTAATGTAATAACTAAAGAAGTAGCATTTACAAAAGCCAAAGATACAGGCTTGAAATTTGAAGAGATAACAGATATAAAGTCTAGAGAAGTAGAAAATATAATATTCAAAGAGGCAGCAGATATAACATTTGAAAAAATAGTAAGCATAACTCCAAAAGAAGCAAAAAACATAACACTTAAAAAAGTAGCAAACATAACAACTAAAAAGTAAATGTAAGGTTTTTTTTGTTTTTTTTTTATTTATATTTTTTCTTACTAATCTTTTCAAATATTATAAAAAAAATAGTTAGTATATTTAACTATTATTAACAAAACAAATATATTAAAATATTTATATATTTTTTTTTTCAGTATTAAGGTGACCTCTTTGGTCTGAGCTTTTTATTAATACTTATAGCAGATATATGTTTTAT